CAGCTTCCAAGTGCTGGGATTACAGGTGTGCACCACCACCCCTGGCCAAGAGCATTATTGAAAAATTCAAGAAAAAATAAAAATCCAGATGCATAATAGAATGCAGATTATACAAAATGTCAAAAGTCAGTAAGAAAAAGATAGATTTGCAAAAAAAAATTGTGTGAATAATTCACAATGTACAAAAGAAAAAAATCTAATGCCTTGAAATGTGAACTGAGAGCCTGTCCCACCAGCAGTAGGGAAATTAAAATTTAAAGCAGGAAGTCATATTTATTATGCTCAAAATTAATAATAAGCCTGTGTTCTTAAAAGTATAGTATATGAGTATTCTTATACTGAACTAAAGTCATCACAAATTGTCTGATGACATTTAAAGAAGCAGAACTTTCTATTAAAACTAAAATGCCCACACCTAAGAATCAGCACCTCTATTCCCGGGTAGATCACTCAGAAAAACATTTTCATATCACATACCAAAAAGTAGCAGAAAAATAAACACTACAGAATTGTCTGTGATGGCCCAATACAGGAATCACCCTGATACCAAAAATAATGGGGCAGACAAATAAAATAAGATACAATCATATTAAGAACTGTATTTGACAAGTTCAATGTTACATGTTTGACCTGTATGAACCAACATGTATTTATCTCAGAACCTTACATTCATAAAAATAGATAGCAATATATATTCAATACATAGCAATATATATTCTATATATATATTATATATAATATATATGTGCATATATATGCACAGAGAGAGAGATTCAGTGGTTTAATCCTCTGAACTACTCTGTGAAGCAGACATCATTTTATTCCCATTGTACAGATGGGGAAGTGGAATACAGAGAAGTCAAAGCCTCAGCCCTGAACTTGAGCAACCAATGGAGCTGCCAGCTGAGGAGCAGGGTAGGGCACCTGTTATCATCACCTTGGCATCTTAAGGAAGTGGGCGGAGCGACCCTGAACCCCTAATAAGTGGCCTTAGCCAGGCAGTGTGCAGTCAGGAGACCAGGACTGAGAGAAGGTGAGAAAGGACCCTGGCTTTATCTTCAGAGTTCTCCTGTTTTATCTTAAGAAACATCATGTTGGGAGGGGTTTAGCTCAGCGGTTCAAACGCTTGCCTGGTGAGCCGGAGGTTGTGAGTTCGACCCCCAGCAGCAAAAAGAAAAAGAAAGAAAAAAAGAAACAACATGAATCCAGAGTCACACGGGAAAAAACGGGCAGTGGATTGGTCCAAGGGTTCACGGTGGCTGTAATGAGCCGTGGAGACCTGAGCGGCCAGTCTTCTTGTACTTTGATTCATTTTTCAATTTGGGAGGCAGGAAAGAAAGAAAGAGGGAAGAAGGTCGGAGGGAGGGAACGAGGCAGAGACTGAGGAAGGAGGGAAGAAGGAGAAGAAAATCCTGGAGACAAACACCACACGCACAAAGCATGGGGGGTGGGCCCGGACTCTGCTTGGTCTCCCAGACGCCCAGTGTAATTCAGAGGTGCCAGACGGCTGTGCTGGGGTGCGGGGTAGACTGTCGTGGGTGGGCAAGAGCTCTGGCATCCGAGACCCGGGTTCAAACCCATCTCTCTGCACATTCGCTGTGCGATCTTAAGTCGTCCGGCCTCAGAGAACTTGTTTTCTAATCCATTCTATGAGACCCTCAAGTTTAATGAGGCTCAAGGAATCTGCCAATAAGAAAGCCACAGACCACACACCAATCTGTGCTAATAAAAACTGGAAAAGAATCAAGATTCTTGATTAACTCAGACTATCAGGCGCTTGGCTTATCATATAACCTGGTTCCACAAATGCCAGAATTTGTTTCTTTACTTTAACTCAACAATTTGGATACTTATAATTTAAATCTGAGTTTTACCAGGATGCTAATAAGTGTATAAGGGACATGCTGGCCCATGTAACTCTTGAAATATGTCTATACACAGTCAAACCCACCCTTCATTAATCAACTAGGACTTCGGCCTCTGGTTTCTCCTCCATAAAATGGGTACAGGAACACTTTTGGTGACTCAGGCAGATGAGATCTTATTTTTTTTTTAACTTTTTTAACTTTTTTTATCGGTACCAGGGATTGAACTCACGACTGCCTGCTTGCAAGGCAGGTGCTTATGCCACTGAGCTAAATCCCCAGCCCCCAGATGAGATCTTAGATAATGCTCCAAAGAATTCCCCCACACTGCCCCTCACCCCCACACACAGGTGCACACACACCTCTTAGGAATATCTCACCCAGTTCTGGAAATTGAGTTATAGCGCTGATTGTGTGTTTATTAGATTATAAACATCTGGTCCCGTTTACTGTTAATGCGTTAGCCCTGACTTAGGTATGACCGCACTAGGAGAGATGTGATTAGCTGCCTAACAACACAGGCTATGGCCCTCCTGTTTTGTCACTCAGCAGGTCCTCTGTCTGTCTCTAAACACTTTGCTTAGTCTCGGTCTGGCATTTACACACCTTTTCTTTGGAAAGCCAGGTTCGATTATTTTTAAACAGACTTGGCTTTTGCATTTTTCCTCCACAGTGAAGTGACTCCTTCCTCCCTTCCCTACTGTACCCTCTGGAAGGAGATCTACGCAAAGCCTAGATTTAGAGCAGGAGCCCTCCTTCCTAGAGCATGGAATAAATTAGGGTTAGGGTTAGGAATTCTTCTGTGGATTCTTACATGTTCTTCCCTAGCTTGAACTTTATTAAAGAATGCATGGTAAATTTTTTTTTTGAACTCGGGGTCCAAAGAGTAAAATGGTTCTACTTCCCTTTGTTCTATTTAAGTTTAATTTTGTTCTCACTTGAACAATTAGTGCGTATAAAATTCTGCTGAGGATAGAAAGACAGCTGAGACAAAAATCCCTGCCTGGAGAAACCATGCCGGGGACCGACAGCAACCCCAGTACATCATGCAAGTAAGGGAATTTGCTTCGGGGACATGGAGAGAGAGCAATCCACGGTACCAGAGGACTGCCAAGGTTGGCTCCCCGGGTGGGTGACATATGCAGTCCCGCTGGGCTGGCCCTTGGTATTTCAGCTCTTTGGAGCCCTCTAGAAATTCTCAGTCATGTATCTGGATTTGTGTTTGGTGAGCAAAGTCCAGTGGGAAAACAGAGCATTGCTGGGTTGTGGGAGCCTCAGCCACATGACTGATACAGCCCTGCCTTCTGTCCCCTCCCAGCTCCCAGCTCCCTGGCACCTTGCACCCCCTCCGACCTCACCCTGCCACCTTGGCTCCCCTCTGCCCAGGGTGGAGAGCATCATGCTGGTGGCGAGGCCCCTGTTCTGCTGTCCCCTCTCCACCTGCAAATGTGGTTCAGTCCCACGTGAGACTTTCTTTGGCCCCAGGCCTGATGGTGAAATCTCTTGGGGGTCCACCCGTCACTGTGGACAGCACAGCAGCCCATGGGGCAGGGAGATGACTTGCTCACCATCAGCAGGGATGTGGCTGTCAGTCTACCAACTGAGGGGCTCATAGTGACCAAGAAAGGAGAGTACAGCTGAACAGTCAATAAAAGACACCATGGCAAGTGGACCTGGTTACCCACAGCTATAATGAGCCCAGTGCTTGGAAGGCGAGGCAAGAGGACCACAGTTTCCAGCACAAATTAGTAATTGAGCAAGACTCTTAAAATAAAATCCTAGAAAAGGGGAAAGGTGGCTTGGGACACAGATCATGCGAAGGACCTGGGTCCCCAGTATCAGGAAAACAAACAAAATAACTTGATAAGGAAGAGACTGTAGCATAAAATTTTTTAAAAAGCTTGATTGTCATCAGCACTTGTTTTCCGTCTTTCTGGTGTGCACTTTCATGGTGTGGTGGCCCTGGGAATTGTAAAGCCCGTCAAGGCAGTGCTGAGCACGTTAGGAAGGTAGATTCTGGAGTCAGAATGCTTCTGCTCGAATAATACTCCAGCACTGACAGCTGATACCCGCAGGCCAATTAATGGAGCTCTCTAACCTCCTGCCTCCTTCCATGAAAAATAAGGACTAAAACCTCTAACTCACTCCACTTTCATAAGACGACGTGAGAGGGGTCTGTCACTGAGAGGCCTCCCCGCTCCTCCTCTGCTCCGCCACTACTTCAAACAGAGCTCCCCTTACCCTGTCTGTGTCTCCCCGGCCCTTCCCAAGCATTGAGAGTGTCAGGGGTCCTCCCCCTCTGCCAGATCCAAAAAGGGTCGGTGGAACGCGGGAAGAATGTGCACAGAGCACCGTGGTACAGTCCTGACAGCTGGCCTGCCCACCAGCCAGAGAGATCATTGAAAAGGGTAGAAAGCAAAGCATCTCGGGTAGGAAAACCCAGCTAAAGCGTTCACAAAGAACTTGGGCAAAATCTAGGTTAAGAAGCCACGCCTGCCCTAAAGCCCAAGTCAGCTTTTCCTGAATTCAGTTCTCAGATATTAATAGATATGCTTGAAATTGAGTCCACAGTGGTCAGCTTGGAAAAGAGTATATGCATTTATCCCTTAGAATGACCTGCTACGTACATTAGAGGTTTACAGACTCTAAAATTCCTATGATGAAGAAATTGGATAAAATCATATAAACCCAAGCTTCTTGTACATACTGGTCATGGAACCACCTTAATTATTTCTATCAAAACCTTAAAAAATATTAACTGTTCTCAGAAACATAGTTGGGGGTTAATCTGCTTGGAGGAAGGTCCTTATTATTTTCTTATGCCTGGACACAGAAGATTTGGTGAATTAAAGAATTAATGATGTTTTTTCGTTTCACCTTGTTCAGGCTTCCATTTGCAACATACACCTAGCAATCTGCAAGCGCAGCTTTATCACAAAGCCCCTGCTGAAGTCAAGCAGGCGTGAACTATCAGCACCACCGTATCAGGGAAGCTTTGAAGATGGAGTTTAACTAGGATCGTGCAGTGGCTCCTGCGGGAGGTGGGAGAAAGCCCAGGTCCCGGTTCTGGACACACTGATCTTTTCACTGCGTCTTGCCTGCTGCATCCAGGACAAGCGTGGACAGACCACTCACCTCGAACAAGCGCAAGACTCTGGCTAGTGCACCGACTTCTTCTTTGAGGGAGAAGATCAGGGAGATGGCACTGTGTTGGCTCGAGTTGTCCTCAATGTAGCTCGTTTCCTGTGGAACCAGAAGCACTTGGTCAACATGTTCTCAACAGTGTAGAGAAGTCTTCCCAGGAAACTTCCAAAGAAGCAGCAAACGAGTTAATTCTTTTGCTAGTTAAGCCTTGGAATACAGTAAGCTCCGTGTATTCTGTGCAAACGTACACTGTGGTGGGAGGTAAATAAGCCACAGAGAGGAGATAGTTTCAGTTACGCACAGATGTCACCAGTCAGTCCTACAAGTTTAATATTTTTAATGAGCACTGTCTAACTGCAAGGCATAGTCACTTAGTGTCTTTGAGAGACATGAAGGTGGATAAGGCCACAGGCCTCCCCTTCAGGAGCTAAAATCCTGACTTAACAGACACACTTACAGGAACTGTAACGTACTAAGAGAAAACATAAAATAAGTCTGCAAGAGTCCTGGGGAGCACTGGGAAAGCACGTGGAAGGTGTTCAGAATATTCACAGGCGTCTGAATCCAGAGATGTGGGCTGGAACCTTTCTCTTCTGGTTTCCTAGAAGAGGCCGAATCTCTGAACCTTCTTGGCTCCCTCCACTATAAAATCATGCTACTCATAACTCTTACCAAAGCAAATTCAGATGATGAAAAAGAAGACAAATGCCACGTTTAAAAAGAATGTTAAAAGAAATATAACCACCAAGCTTTTGGTAAAAATCTTAGGAAGGATGAACTCAGTCCTACGTGCTAGCATCTAAGATAACCATTTGCTGAAAACAAGAAAGAGTCACAAAAAGCATGAAGGTTCACAGAGACTCTATCAGAAGACGGGTGCTTCTAAACAAGTAGCGACAAATGTCAAGCATCTCCCAACGACCACACGCCTATGACAGCCAGAGGAAGAGGGGAGCCGGAGTCCGCCACACATTCGCTTGAGTTTTAAAGATAAGTGTTTTTCCAAAACCGATGTGTGCCACCAACATATACATGTCCCTAAAACCTGGGAAGGGACACTGCCTGTTCGTCACCCCCTGTGAGCAGAATGGAGGTTACACCATCTCGGCCAGAGAGGCTGCAGCAGCAGGCTCCACCAGTGACTCGATAACAGACACCGCATCAGTACTGATGACGCTTAGGGACCTCTGAGTTGGTGGCTAACAAGGTATCTCTTAGACTGTCCTCAAAGTTAGTGAGGTGATCCGGACCCTAACTGGGCATAACTCCTGGGATGTGACGGGCTCTTAGGAGATGGAGAAAGCCGAGTTGCCAAGTGAGGCAGAGACAGAGCAGTCTTTGTCTTTCCGAGGAAAGCAGGGAGGCTTGGACACACGACAGGCTGTGATTCACACAGAGCAGGTTGGTCCCCACCTGCTCTGTGTGAATCACAGCCTGTCGAGTGCTCTTCGGGGCTGCAGAGGTGTCTCCCCTTCCTCCCACAGAGCTCTGAACCCCCAAGCCTCCCTGCTTTCCTCGGAAAGACAAAGACCGCTCTGTCTCTGCCTCACTCGGCAACTCGGCTTTCTCCAGCTGACCTACAGGAAAAGTAAGCTAATGCCTGACCCTGACCAACAGATGCTGCCTCCTGCAGGGTAGCTCGGATTTCGGTGTCCCTCTGCTGTCCCCTCCCCAGCCCCAGCCCACTCCCGCACATGTCCGGCCAATCACCAAGTCCAACTCCATCTTCTCCAGAAATGACTCACAGAGTCCTGTCTCTTTTGTGTTTGCTCCCCCTGCCAGTGTGCAGGTCCAGCTTAGTGGACCCCAGCCGAGAAGAACCACGCCCTGTCCTCCTGCACTTTCTAAACCATTCTGGATGCTTTTAACTATGGAAAATTTCAAAACCGCTGATGGATACGCGGGCTGTGTGTTAAAAGTTTAGCTTTTCTCAAGTGTGGGTGCGAATTTACGTTTAGATTAGAATAAGGGGCTAGTACAGTGTTACTACTGCCCCCAACTGGGGAGCCAGCACTGCCCAGAGCCGCACCGAGTAGTCTGAATAGTTCATTTGTATCACCTCTTGCACCAGTCAGCTTTTCTTAAGGGTTTGCATGTAGCCCCCATTGGTCCTCACCGGGTAAGCGCTCCTCCTTTGTGAATGAAGGAACAGAGTCACTAGGTTTAGGGGCCTGTCCAAAGACAGCAAGCTAATGAGTAACAGACTCTGAACTTGAATCTGGGACCCACAACGGCAGTGCTCTGATTCGGCCTCCAGTAGCAGATTCGCCTGGGACAATCACTTGGCCTTGTCATAGCCTGGAGGGCTTTAAATGAAAGGAAGCTCACAGAAGTCCCTAAAATTATATATCGTCCCCAGGAAGTAGATTCTGAGTTCTAACACTGCTGTGTTGATCCAGCCAATCAAGGACCTTGGACAAAACTCTTCCTGACTATGTTTTTAACTGTCCCCTAAGTTGTACCTAATTTATTCCCAACAGCTTTGCAAAAGGACTTGCATACATACGTATATTCAGGGTAGGGACAAGGTAGAGAAAAGTAACTCACAAACTCAACAGAAAGAACCAGGACAGGAGGAAAGAACTTTGATAGTTCACCAATGAATGCATTCACATTAGAAACACGATATGTTCGTTTTGGTTGTATCTAAACAATGCATTCTGTTATCTTTAGAAAAGAGCAGATTTCAAATTGATAAGCAATGATTTTAGTAAGGATATTCCAGGAGGCCTAACTTTCAATTCTGATTCTTTAAGGGTTATGGGAAGGTATGTATTTGTAGGTGTGATTACACACACACACACACTGTAAGGTGACTAAAAACAGTATCTTCTGCCACAGCGTACCTCCCTGCAGCATAGTACAAGATTCCTAAATATCTCCAAGCTGCAGCGCTCTCCCCCGGAGGAGGCATTACAGTGAAGATGTACACAGCGGTCGGAGTCAGGTTTAAACACCAGCCTCACTGTTCGTAGATGATTTCCAAGCTCCTCACGTCCTACTCCATGGCTCTGCTCTGTTTTCACAGCATTTTCTCCATATGAAATTAAATCGCATGGCTCTGTGTTAACTTTTGATTGCCTTTCCCTTATATGAGAGTGCACTTTGCCAGGGCACAGAGCGTGCCACCTGGCACCCACAGGTGCTCGTCACTCTTGGATGAGTGACTGCCAGCACACTGTGATTCCGCAGGACTGTTGTGCTTGTCCCCTGAGTAAAGCTTTGATGGACCCTGTGCCTGCAGCAGTCGGGGTCCTCCCCGTCACCTCCCTGCTGACCTCAGAACTCGATGGAGTCCTGAAAACTAACAGAGGCCTATCCTGTTTGTCTCCATCTTACAGATGTCACCCTGAGCTCCCTCACTCCAAACACGAAACTTTCCCAGTACTCAGCCTCAGTGGCCCAGCAGAGGCCCAGGTCTCCTGACTGTGCCACCAGCACCCTCCCAGGACGGGGCTTCCCCGGCTGCAGTGCCTGAGTCCCAGTCTGTCCTCCCTGCTGGAGTTCAGGACATTTTGTGGAACAAACCAGGCGGTTCCAGCCAGACACACAGCGGCGCCTCCCTGTGTTCTGGGAACAGCACAGAAAGATTCGCATGTCTTGCCTCATTCAGTCCTCACACGGCCCTAAGCAGTGGCTCCTTTTATTCCTACTTTTCCAGTGAACCAGTCTGAAGCTCTGCAAAGTGAAGTACCCGCGTCAGTGCAGAGGCTGCACCAGGCATGTGCCAGACCCGCCTCTGTACGGGGCGCTGTCCTCTGCAGGGATGCCTGTGGACTGTCCATCTGCTAAGTGCCATAGAAATAAGACTTGAAGATGCCCTGGCTCCCTGAGAGCAGGTCCCCGTTCCCTCAGTCTCTGCAGTGAGGCCCCTTTGGCTGGGACCCACCTTTCCTCTCTCACTCCCGCCGCCCAGTTCTTTCTGACCCTCACACCCAGGTCCTCCCTGAGATCCCCGAGATCTCATCATCCAGCATCCCCGAGAGCTGCCTGTGTGGGCTGAGGATGAGTGTACCTCAGATCCTAAAATGTGCCCTGCCATTTTCCACCTGGAGGGAAGGACAGCAAATCCTGGAGCATGGCACCCGCTCCGTCATCACCCCCAGGTCACCCTCCTGGCTCCGTGTCCTATACCTAGGGCAAGCACCTGTGGGGCTTCCTCTCTGCGGGGCGCCTCCCTCTCTAAGCCAGAGTAAGCTCCCAAATCCTCCTCCTGCTTTCTCTCGTCCTCAAGCTAAAGGACAATTTGGTCATCTTCATAACCAGCTGAGAGCACTTTACACACCCACAGAAGAGACCTAGAAAGACCCTACCCCTGCCCCAGATCTGGGACAACCAGCCCATCCTGTTTAGAGAGAGAAAACAGAAACAGAGAGAGGCAGTGACTTGTCCAAAGACACACAGCTCTGGACATGGGGTCCCCAACCCCTAACACAGTGCTCCTTCTCCCTGAAAACCACCCAGGACAGATGCGCTTCCCCTGAGGGCAGTCACGCTGATGACATCCTGGCCATTCTCATCCTCTGCAAATGAAGTCAGCCTTCTTGGTGAAGTCAGGAAACCAGGAGATATCAACACTTTATTTCTCAGACTCCTTCTGCCAGACACACGCCCTGTGCTTTCCAGCCCTTTAGAATTTTTTTATTTTTTTCAGTCTTGAAGTCACTAAGTTGACCAGGCTGGGTTCAAACTCAGGATCCTCTTGCCTCAGCCTCCCAGCACACCTGGGCTCACAGGTGTGCACCACCATACCCAGCTGCAGCCTCTTTCTCCCTGGGCAACCAAACCTCCTCCTTGAGCAGCTGTGGCCCCCAGATTACCTGTCCAAAGTCCGAGAATTTTCGGCCGAAGCCTCTGCCCTCCACGACCACGGCTGACATGCTGGCTGCCAGCAGCACTGGCTCCAGCACCAAACGACAGTCCCATCAAGTCTGGGCCAGCTCTGGGTTGATTGTTTTAACTTGGCCAAGGGCGTGTCTTGTTGTGTCACCTGCAGGGTCACAGCCACCCGGTGGGTGGGTGGTGGGCGTTGTCCTGACGCAGCAGGGTGAGAGGAGGGACCAGGAGGCTGCCCTTGGCAGCCCACTCCAGACAGAGGCAGTGGCCAGAGTCCCCAAGGCTACTGTGCCTGGCGATGACACAGAGGGACACTGAGGAGTATTCTCAGGAGCCTGGACAGCAGGTTGTCTGAAACCGGAGTAAACCTGCCCCAGCCTGAGGCTAAGAATCATGTGAATTTTTTCCTCCTGGTTCCTGGTACAAACATAGCCTGGATCCTCACTTAGATCGGTTTTTTTCAGTTCCTTTTACTGAACCCTGCTGTGCTTTGGTGACAGGTGGCTAAAGGCTAAGACAGGGGTCACCAGGATTGCCGTCTATGGCAATCCCACAGCTCCTTCTGGAGCCCCAGGGACCCTCAGGCGAGGACACCACACTGTGCTGGGTCCAGCTGTCTCCCTACAGAGCTCAGCATGCGCTAAAGGATCAGAAACTTAACAGCACATGGCTCCCTGTGCCAGCTGCCTACGGGGGCTTCCTGACTACACAGGGACAGGACAGCACTGGACAGCAGGGCTGGTGCTCCCGAGGGAAGTGGGGCAGCCCAGGACGGGAAGGGCGCGAGCTCCAAGGAGACAGGGCAATGCTCCTCACCCCCTTTCATCAATGAGGAAAGTGAGCTGGGCCCCGAGTCCCCGGCAGGAAAAGAGAAACACAGAGCCCTGGGAGTGAGAGCAGCAGGAGAGGCACACTTCCGGGCATGGGGACCCTGAATCGGCTTAATATTTACCCAGGTGAGGTTAATGGGCCGTGAGTCAACAGGCCAATAAAAGAGGCCGCTGGAAGCCCACCCCTTCCCCTCCCACGATTCTTTGACCTGGAAACCAAGCGTCTGCCAAAAAAAAAAAAAAAAAAGTCAAGCTTTGATTGAAAACAAGAAAAAAAAGTCTCAAGCTTTGATTGAAAACAAAAACATTTGCCTGGCCTTTACCAATTTTTTTTTTTTTTTTTTTTTTTTTTTACCCGTACCAGGGATCAAACTCATGACCACTTGCTTGCAAGGCAGGTGCTTGTGCCGCTGAGCTAAATCCCCGGCCCTTAGTGTGTCTTTGCTCAAGCCTAGGCTTTGCTGTCTTTAAGACAGGGATTTTAACGATGGTGTAGGAGTTCTTGGGCCTCATCAGCATGCCAGGCTTCCTCCCGGCTGCCAGGAGTTCACAGAAAACACAGTGCTGTGTACCCGGGACACTTGGGTTTCTAGCCAAGGTTCCGATGGTACAATCAGAGCTCAAGGCTGTCCAATGTGGACCTTGACTTTCACTCTAAGATTTTCATCAATAAGAGGGGCTGAAAAAAGCAGCTGTATCTGGCTTTGTCTGGCTCCAGTATTGCTCTAGTCTGCGGGCGTAAGAGGCAGCATTTTCCTTCCCCTCCAGGACCACCTGTGCCCTTGTTCCATTCCTTGGTGCTGCTGTGGCCACACCTGGAACAGGACAGGGGTGCAGGAGATGGACGCAAATGGCAATCGCTGTGTCCGATGCCGCAGCCAGCTGTCCTTGACAGTCCTGTGACCTGGCGGTAGATGAGGAAACGCTACAGGTGTGAAAGGTAGATGTGAAACGCTACAGGCACCCTGTCCACTTGTGGGTGATGATGCCTGAGCGACTGCGGAAGGGATCAGGTCTCAGGGAAGCTCAGCGCCTTGCTCTGTGCCCAGCTTGAGGAGCACGAGACCAAATTAGCTCAGAGTCTCATGTAGAACACAGGGATGCGGGCGTGATAAATCTCAGTCACGCATCACGCGGTCTGATGAACAGACTCTCAGTCTGAGCAAACCCCCCACTTAGCACTGAGTGTCCTGAAGCCAACATAAGCCACGCAAGCCGAGAGCATTTACACATTCATTACTGTGGGACCAACATGAAGCCTTCAACCTTCCAGGAGAATTTACAAAACTTAAAAATCTCTACCAACATAGAGGAAGAAAGAAACCTCACTGTAGCTTAAATCAGGATGCCTCTTTATTTTGAGCAAGGTTTGCACACATGTAAACGTAAGTCTTGTTTACTCTCCGGTGCACTATCTCTGTCTTGGGTAATGTGCTTGTCCTGTACTTTTGTACTTTTGAAAGTAGGATAGAAGCCAAGGGTAGGAGAGAAGCCAAGGCACCAGCCCTAAGTCCCATCCACCCCTAAGTGCCCTCAATGTGGGAGGTGGGTGGTCTTCATGGAGAATCCTACAGCTGTGAACAAGTGTTGGTGTCTTCTGTCACAAAAAAAGTAATTCTGATTACTTTGCTGACACAGCATTTCATATGTGCCTTGAAGATTCCCTGCGGGAGGCTTTTATGTATGTATGTATGTATTTATGTATTTTTGGTACTGGGGGTTGAACTCACGACCACACGCTTGCCAGGTAGGTGCTTATGCCACTGAACTAAATCCCCAGCCCTATGGGAGGCTTTTAGCCAGGGCTCCAGGCCTCCTATAGTCTCATTTCGTCACCTGCTATCTCAAGAAAAACATACATTTGTCCTGCAGGTGGAGGCGGTCAGTTGTTCTCTCTGAGGCCATCTGCCTATGTGCCAGTCACAGAAGCTTCCCAGTCTCTTGGCTTTTTATGTGTGTTATACACAGTCCCCACCTCCCCCTGGTCCCAGGGAACACAGGCCAAGCTCTCTGTCATGTTCCCTTTGTCTCCCCTAGACTGGCTAAGGTGACGTAAAGGACCCCAGAACTCCTCTCCAATGGAAAGAAGAGAAATGTGGCACCCTGCTGACAAATCTCTTTCTAATGACACTCCCTCTTTTAAGTCACCGTTTTGGTCTCCTGGTCTCCCTTCTGAATCCTTACCATGAGGTTTGAGTCTAGAGTCCCACAGTGGGTTTTAGTGAGTCCTGCATAGAAATTCTCAAAGGATTAAAGAGTAACAGTGAAACATTCACACTTGGTACAGCATCAGAGTGGTCACTAGACCCATAGGTTTCAAGGATATTTCTTGAAATACGCAATTAGTTTCATGAATTTATACAGAATTTAGAAAAGAAGACCTTTGGCAGGTGGTTCTAGTGATCTTTCTATGGCCGGGGCCACATTTTCAAGGTTACTTGCACAGCAAACACCACTAGAAGTGAGAGAGAACTTCTCCCTCTGAGCCAGAGAGCAACTTCCAGATTCACCTAAGAGATTCTGTGATAAAAGTCACTCCCCTGTCTGTAGAGAAAACACACTCCCAATCCAAGGTGAGGTAAGCCTGCCTCTGGAGAAGAAGATGGAGAAGTTGACACTGGCCTTACTTAAAATCTATGTCCCGATCTCTGTGCTCCCAGAAAGGAAACAGATCCACTGTGTGATCAGTATCCGCCTACATCCATTCTGCACTGATGTCATTAATGGCACTTAGGGACCAGGGAACCCAGTGAAAGCCTGGAAGTCTGCCTACTGCACCTGGGGCAATAAAAAGTCGAAACCCATTGGGCTTCATCGGTTCTGTCTTATTCACTGTCCTCATTGTTGGATCAAAATATGAACAGCCTCTTCCAACCAGGTCCCACCTCTCAGAACCAAGCCAGCGGTAACGCCCCATAATCCAGCTACTTTCCACGAGTACCACCTCTGAGTGCCTGAGGCTCTGAGGAGGTTTTCACATGTAACCATGGCAGGCCGCCCCTGCACCCTGAAGGCTCATGCACATCTCTTTATATAAAATGCATTCAGTTCATCTCTGAGAGTCACTGAAACCTTCCAGCAGCCCTAACATGTTCAAGTACAAAATTTCTGAATTTTAAGGGCCACTCTTAGGGGTGAGCCCCTCTAAAAATTAGAAACGCTGGTGACATACAGTGGCACAGGATAAACATTTCCATTCCAAAAGGGAAGAATGCAGGAGAGAAACCAATGGGACCTCCCCAGGATGACACAAGGGCACAAACATGCACCAGCTGCAAACCAGAGCAACATTTTGCTTCACCTTGGTATCAGGTAGCAGGGAGAAAGAAATAACTCCCCAGATTGTTTGTGGACAAAGACAGTGCTCAGGGAGAGATAGGGACAACCCGGTCACTCTGATGCTGCGTCAAGTGTGATTGTTTCCTGTTACTCTTTAATCCTCTGAGACTTTCTATGCAGGACTTGCTAAAACCCACTGCGCAACTCTAGACTTCTTAAAGGGAGACAAGGAAACCAAAATGGTGACTTAAAAGACGGAATATCACTAGAAAGAGATTTGTCAGCAGGTGCCACATTTCTCTTCTTTCCATTGGAGAGGAGTTCTGGGGTCCTTTACGTCACCTTAGCCAGTCTAGGGGAGACAAAGGGAACATGACAGAGAGCTTGGCCTGTGTTCCCTGGAACCGGTGGGAGGTGGGGACTGTGTATAACAGACATAAATCTCTGGAGAGGTCAGTATCTAGATCACCTTGGGGTCACTGACAATACTGTGGCCCATTCCTGGGACATGGGGTATTGGGCCAAATACACTGATAGCTTCTCTTCCATGTAAGCAGAGGTAGCTGAATCCTAGGACACAGGCAGAGGCTAAGGGTGATGCCCAAGGGCCAGCACTGAACATCAGGCATTAAATAAAGATGTCTCCACGTTAGAAATAAAGCTTCCCAACACAGTCAACTCACAAGCCTCAACACAAAAACAAATGAGCAAAAGACAAATAGAGACATAGAGGACGAGCCAACAAAATCCCACCAAAAATTCCCAAAACTAATCAATAAGGCATCAAAGGCGAAGAAGCCAAAAGATGTACACTCAAATTATTGAAAATGATATCACAGAAGATAAAAAGTAGATCAGTAAAGCAGTTAGCAGGTTCACAGAAGAAGATATAAGTAAACAGCTATTCGGCCAAATAAAATGATTAGCGAGTCTATAAAGACATGAACAAGAAGCTAGCAGAGCCAAACAAAATGATTGGAAACATGAATTATCAGATAGTGACCAACGTGAGGATGAAGTGTCCACACTACTGCCCTCACATCGGTCACTTCTGCTGCCCACACTCTTGATAGAGTTTTTAACCTCCTGAATTTCTATCTGGAGCTTTTTTGTAGTCTCTGATTCTTTTCTATCTGATAATTCATGTTTCGCATCATTTTGGGAAAGATATTATAGATTG